AAGTTTGTTTTTTCCAGAAACAATTTTACTTCATGCAATAGGTTTTCCTTGTTGAAAATTGTAAAAATTCAAATTTCTTCGAAATCACTGAAAAAATTTCTTTTATGATCAAATTTACTATGATCTTATCTAGAGTCTCCCCTTTATAATGAACTTTTTTCATCAAGTGTACGAATATTTTCGTTTTTTTTTTTTTTTAATTTTTTGTGAATTTTGTATATTTGATTTAGACCAGAGTTTTTTTATTTTTTATTCCAAGTTATCATTTCGTGCGAAACGCGCGATTAGAGCGCCTCAGCGGTAAAATATACTTCCTACGATTCTCGAACCTGATCGATATTTCTCACGATCGATTTCTAAGCGGGATGAATGGCGGAAGGAAGCACACCTCGTCTGTAAAGAAGAAAATATTGTAAAAAAATCGTCCAGAAAGAAGTATCATCCAAAAGTTCTTAGATAAAAATATACATTAATAGTTGTTAGATTTGTGTCTGTGTTGTGAATTTTTAAGATAAAAAACGTGCATTTGTGTCTGTGTTGTGAATTTTTAAGATAAAACGTGCATTTTGATTTCAACACAAGGTAAGATTTAATCAAATAGTTATTACATATAATTTTCAACAATTAAAGAAATAATAGCATATAAACGTTTAAACAGAACATACTATGCTAAAAATTATTTATAATTTTGTACCAAAATTTAATTTTAATTCTAACCATTACAAATATTGTGTCCTTGTAATGTGACTATTTTTTTACTATATACATAATATGCTTTTATTTCTACTGTAACATTTTCTATTCATTTGTTAATTCTTTAACCTCATACTGCATAATTCTTAACAATTTCAATACTAAATTCAACAATAATTTATTGAGGATTTAATGGCTAAAATAATAATTCTACTGCATAATATAATACAATTTCTCATGTCGCAGTTTAAAGTATTGACAATTTTTCATTACGTATGTGAATATTTTTGTTCTTTTTTAAGAATTTTTCATGAATTTTGTGTATTTGATTTAGACCAGTGTTTTTATTTTTTATTCCAAGTTATCATTTCGTGCGAAACGCGCGATTACAGCGCCCCAGTGGTGAAATACGTAATATACTTCCTACGATTCTCGAACCTAATCGATATTTCTCACGATCGATTTTTAACCGGGAAGCATGGCGGAAAAGAGCACATCTCATCTGTAAAGAAGAAAATATTATCCAGAAGAATCATCCAGAAAGAAGTATCATCCAAAAGTTCTCAGGTAAAAATATAAATCAATAATTGTTAGATTTATGTTTGTGTTGTGAATTTTTAAGACAAAATGTACATTTTTACGTACATGCGTCATGATATATTACTAATGTGCATACTTCCTATTGTAATAAGAAATATTCAGAATACAATTTCGGAATACAGTAATTGTCTTTTATTTACAGTATTCAGTATTAAGAAACACTTTATAATTTATAATTAGTACTTTTAATTTTCATATTCAAGTTTCTTTATAATATAATTCATATTCTAGAAGAATAGCAATACTTTCTAAATGAACATATTCTTCGCCCTCCTTTTACTAATCAGCTTTATTTTTTTCAGAGAATTTTTATGACCGCGCGCAATGCGGTT